GATTTATACAAAAGTGTTTATGCTTACCTGGCAATCTCTGTTACCTAATGCATCATCACGTACACAAGGAGTTGCTCTAGTTACCAACTGTTTCTAATTGAAACTTATCATTTCTTCTGACATATACATATATTCACCCTGTGGCTTGAAGCACTGACGTGGGTCTACAAACATTTCAACCTTATAGTCTCCACTTGAACGGCAGCTAAAAAGTATGCCAATGTGGTGTGGTGGTAGGAGCATTCCTTTCTCGGCTTTGGCAAGTCACGTTGATAGTGCCCAGATCCATTGCAGTTTGTAGCAGACATTTTTACGAAGTTTCCGGTTTTGCACCAGCATTGTCAAATCGAAGCAAATTATTGTTCCTGGTTCTCTAAATCTTCAGGATGTATGGGTTTAGGATTCTCTGCAGCAGCAGCAGGAATTTCGTCAGCCAAAGCAGACAAATATTCTTTAAAAAGATCCTCTGGGGTAAAATACCGTCCTGCTTGTATTGTGACATCATTAATGCCATCAATTAGCATTGCAACTGCATTCTTCCCAATTATTTTGCATTGTCGCAGAAGTTGCATTTTTCCAAAAAAATATTCGCTCCAACTTTCACCAATTAATTTATGTCGCTTTATCATGGATTTAATGGACGATGGGAAATTTTGGTGGTCAGGAAAATATTGATAAGATTTGCTTTCCATTGTACCCAAATATAATCGTAGGAGTCAGGGTGATGGTACCATGACTAAGCTAACCCTTTTAATCTGGCTTGGATATGGTGAATCATGGTTGCTTCGTCCCATTTATTTATGGAAGCTGATTGCTCAATTTTGGCTAACCATTTACTGCAACTCATATGATTCACCTTACCAGGGTTGAACATTTCTACTTCTATGTAGCAGTTTGACTACCAGATCTTCCAAAATTTCAATGCGCTCGTTGTCCCTATTGGTAGTAGAACTACTGCTTCTCGTAACGTCTACGGTTCCAGTTTGTTCTACTAGAGATTCATCCCGTGATATTGCAATAGTGCTTGAAATTTCCGGAGTTGTTCCTGGATCTCTATTAGGAATATTCGCATTACTCATTACTCTTGTCTGCAACTATTTTCGCTTCAACCGCAATACTTCTCACACGTCGCTCTCTACATACCGACTTTCTGGAAGTTCGTTTGTAGCGATCGACATCTGAACTTCCAGTTGAAGTTGAACTGTCACTATTACTACTGGAACTTCGCCTTTTATGCCTGCGTTTACTCATGATGACACACTATTACACAAGTTTATGTCACTGTAAGGGATTCGGGATATCCCAAATAAAAAGACGAAATAATTAATAAACAATTTATTTATTTGGACTCAAGAAATAATCGTAAGCTCGTAAGCAAAATAAGAAACAACCAACCGATAAAAGCTAACGCGACGACTGTTGGCAGGTAGATTTCGCACCCTCGTACCAGGTCCCTTCTTGGCTTTTTTTTTTATCTATTGAGAACAATAGATTTGGCGTCAGGCGATCAATAATAGACAAATTCCTCAACCAATGTCTTCGGTACGACTATACAGGGTCGGCTATTGTTTTGTTTCATCTTGTACTTACAAAATCATGAAACTTTTGTATTAAATGGTCCTCATCAATGGTTTGGACGTACCTTTTCGAAAGTCAAGTCCTCAATCAGGCGGGAGCCACACGTGGAAATAACCAAATCGTAAGCCGGAAGGAAACTCTTTCATATTGCCTGGAAATGAAAAACTGGAGAGATTGAGGACATGGGGCCTGAACCTACTAACTCAACAAGCATTTTAAACCGCATATATGATACGATACGGTGGGACTGAGCGAAACGCGACTCAGCGGGCAAACCACCACGATCCTCAGATCAGGACACATGTTCCAACGAAACAGCGATACTAACTCTCACGTCAGCGGATCGCCATAATAATCCATAAGAAGCTTAAACGACGAAGGTCGAAGCCATCTCAAATCGTGTAATCTATTTCTTACTCAAATTGAACAGCAGGTACAAGATTCATATAATATGCTCCTACCACTGCATCATCGGACGATGAAAGCGAGCAGTTCTATGATGACCTAACAACAGCTAAAGACGCAGAAAAATCCAAATATATCATCATAGCTGGAGACTTCAACGCAAAGATTGGACCCAAAAAGGCTACCGAACCGCCAAATATAGGCCACTTCGGTTTAGGAAGACGAAACAACAGCGGTCAGAACATGTTGGATTTTTTATGCAAACAAAATGTCTACTGCTTGAATACCTTTTACAAAAAACCACCTACAAGAAACTGGACGTGGAAGAGTCCAGATGGTATTACGTGTAACGAAATAGACTATACAGGAAAATATGCTTGGACGTATTAGTCCTGAACCGCTTCAACACGGGCAGTGACCACAGGTTAGTGAGAGCAAGAATAGAAATTAACATTCATCTCGAACGAAATAAGTTGATTACAAAAACTATGGAAGAGTTGACAGAAAGAAGAATACAATAAGCAAATAGAGAGTAAGTTCCAACCACCTGGGACTCTTAAAGCCACAAAGAAAGTTTGCGCTCTTAAGACAAATAAAAGCGAAAAACTCAGTGTTAACACAGCTCAGCTAATAAAAGAGCGTCGGAGCACACACAGGGATGCACCACAATATAAAACATTGAACAAGCAAGTAAAAACAGCGATACGAAGGGATATACGGGCGCACAACACACAACCGATTCTTGATGCCATCGAAGATAATTTAAACATGAAAGTACTACGCTCTCAAAGAGAGCCAAAGGAAATATGGTCATTCATAAGATGAAGAACAACCTGGGAGAAATAGTTACAGACCAAATAGATATAGTCACTGTGATACAGGACTTCTACCAGACCCTGTACAGTCAGTCAGTCCCGCAGCCAAACCAAACAGAAAAAAAAACCGATTATCTTGAACGTGGGCTCAGAAAAAATTCCCGAAATAGATGGCCCTGAGCTCAGAGCAGCGCTTAATTCGATGAAAAACCGTAAAACACTTGGAGAGGACCGCGAAACGAGCAAAAACGATCAGAAACACTGGAAAAAACAATGCTTATATTGCTGAACAAATGTCTCGAAGAGGGCAAGATCCCCAAGATGTGGCAAAATGCCGAGGTAATACTTCTATTTCAGAAAGGTGACCCTACAAATCCGTCCAATCAGCTTACTAACTACATTGTACAAACTGCTGCCGAAGTTACTAACAAATCACCTGGACAGAAAGTTCGACTTCTACCAACCTATAGAGCAGGCCGGTTTTAGGAAAGGGTACAGCACAAGCAGTTCGCACGCTAATAGAGAAATGCATAGAATATAACGTGCCTCAACATATGGCATTCCTTGATTATCAAAAGGCCTTCGACTGTATTGAGATATGGGCAGTGCTGGATGCCATGAACAGGGCAAGAATCGATTCTAGATACTCGGACTTAATTGAACATATTTATAAAAATGCAACGTTCCAAGTTAACATCAAGGAAGATCTACGAACCGAAAAAATTATTATCCACAGAGGAGTGCGGCAGGGCGACACGATTTCCCCAAAACTTTTCACCCTGGCACTGGAGGACATCTCCTCTCTCATTCAAATAACATTAGATAACCACCACTTGGAATCCGTGGAGCAGTACATCTATCTGGGACATAATATCAAATTGAGCAAGGACAACCAAACAACGGAAGTCACAAGGCGAATCGGCTTGACTTGGGCTGCCTTTGGAAAACTAAACCATATTCTCAGAGACCGTAAAGTCCCAACCTGACTCAAGAGAAAAGTGTACGATGCGTGCATTCTCCCCGTTGCAACTTATGACCACTACTCTCACGGTCAACAGCATAAGCCGTTTAAGAGTCTGCCAGAGAGCAATGGAGCGAGCGATGCTGGGTATCAGCTTGAGGGATAAAATACGCAAAACGGAAATTCGCAAACGCACTAATGTATCGGATGTCACAGAACGGATTGCGAGATCGAGGTGGCGATGGGCAGTTCATGTTGCCCGAGATGACGTGAAATGGACCAAGAAAATAATGCAGTGGAGACCCAGAGAGACAAAAAGAAGTGTTGATAGACCCCAGGCGAGATGGCTTGATGACCTACAGCTGCTAGCCGGGAAGAACTGGATGCACACCGCCTAAAACAGATCGACCTGGGAAAAGATGAAGGAGGCCTATGTTCAGCAGTGGACGTCTAAAAACTGGAAGAGAAGAAGAGAAGATATGATACGATTGGAGTTTATAGCTGCTTTGGAAAGAAAACCTTAGCAGCACTAGAAAACTAAAAAAATTTCCAAATCAAAATCATTCTCTCTTGTTTATTTTTAAGTTGATTACCAATCTATGCATAGGTTCATTTTCACCGACAATAAAATGCTCTATTGCCAACTTGACAAATAAATGTTCATTTGCCAGAATAATAGCGCATAATTTAGGAAAATGAATGGAACGTTTCCGCTAGAAAATACATTTATTAGGTGAGACCCTATATTATAAATGAATTTATGGTTGTTTCAATAATTGTCATACACAGCGGAAATATATATTTATTGAATTAGTTTTCGGCTAATAATAAATAAAATAATTTTGCGCATTGAATAATAATTTAATTCACTTTGGGAAAAATTTTCTCGGGCGCGCCACCACAAGCAAAACAGAAAGGCCTCATTGTTTGTATTTTCATTTAAATGGAAAAAGTTTTGGAAACCTACAGAAATACGAGGAATATTAATATTTATGGTGTTAGAAAGGGAAATGGAATTTTGCACTCGGAATAAAACTTTTGTTGAACACACAAATATTCTAAAACACACACTGTTTCTGTACTATAATTTCATCTAGCTCATCACTTGCACATCATTCTTTAATAACAAGCCCCTCCTCAGGCTTCTCTTTGCATTATTGGCTGGGTATGGTATAGGTGATGGAAAATGTTAATTTTTCTATGGAAGATATTGAATTTAATATTATTTTTCTTTTTTGCAGAGATCTCAGTCATAACCAAATAGCAGTGATTGGCAAGAAGACTCTCAAGGGAGTCAGTGGATTAAAAAACTTGTAAGTAATTTGATATCGAGAATTATTTTTATACAGTACAATTCACAATACCTATTCTACAATTAAGATAATAAATATATAATTCCCACCCATGGATATTTCCTTAATAACAACGTGGTTTTCTGTAATCATTAGGATTTACATACAAGATGTTATACAGCATGTTTTAAATCCTATTTCCCCCTTTTCTATTATTTAAGACTTCTCACCTGTAAATTTTTGGTTTCCCTGGTTATTTCTCCCCCATGTGTTTTGTTTTTGAATCTCGTTGAAATGACTTTGTTTAAATGAAAAATGAAATTGACCCCGCACTGCAAACGCCTTCAAAGAAGAATTTATTTTTCTCGGGTTGTATTTATATGCAAACAACCCTTTGACGTCAAAGCCACATATGTAGGTTTGTCGATCCTCTTTCAGTATTTCGCATAAACTGTGTTTTTTTTTTATGTTAATGAAGTGTTTTAACATTGTACTGTTTTGGTTCTGTTTCCAAAGAATATAGATACTTTACAAAATTGAAATCACATTTTTATTAACATAGGTACAATCCGATCCTAAATCCTTAGAAACGCCTTTTTTGAAAGTCTAAAAATTGAACTTATATATTTATCATCTTGCACGAATTGTCCAAAATAGATCCCTTTTACAAAAACCCATCCAATATCCCAAAGTTTCAAACGTTGAATGGCCTCTTGCCTCTTGATCTGATTATTTCGAGGATTTTATGCTTTTCGAGACTTTTTTTTTGGCCCTTACCCAAAAGCGTATCAGGCCATATATATCTTTTTTTTTGAATGTATATGGATATTTTTTTTTTGAGGTGAATATAATGTCATTCATTCAATTTTTTTTTTCTTGTAGGCAACTCGACAACAACCAAATAACATGTATAGACGATTCGGCACTTCGGGACATGAAAGACCTAGAAGTATTGTAAGTATTTTATTATTGATATGTTGCAACGAAAATCTGATACACAGGGTGTTTAGTACATCGATAGGAAGTTTTCAATAAGTGATAGGTGGGGTCATTTGGAAGCTGTTTGGCCATATTCACCCTCATGCAAAGTTTCTTCGTTTTTTGAAATATCGCTATTTTTAGATATTTTCAATCCATGTATTTTAAGACATATTTTGGGTCACATATTTTTTGTATTAATCTTTGGGATTTTCTTTCCTTATTGTTTTGAAAGACTGTATATTAGGAATGTCGGAAAAAAAATTGTTTATTGTTACTACCAAAAAAACAATATGTTTTAGGAACAATTCATATATTTTCCAAAAATATCTAAAAATGCTGATATCTCAAAAAAATACAAAACTTTGCATAAGGGTAATTATGTTCAAACAGCTTCCAAATGACCCCAACTATTAGTCATTGAAAACTTCCTATCGATTTACCAAACACCCTGTATATTGCTCCTTGGGAGTCATTGGAAAGAATATTTTCCAGAAGAAAAATGCACATAGTACAAGCGTCTGTTGAGCTATGCTAGATTATACAATTTAAAAAGAGGAAAATAAGGTGCTCATTGAACTAAAATTTCAAGTGGATCCAGTGAAAAACAGTTGTTGTTATAGTTTTTCTGAAAAACTGTTTATGGAAAAATATTTAAACTTTAAAAAAAAAAACAGGAAGGTGATGAGCTCAACATAACAAAATTTCAAGTCGAGTTTTTCTGAAAAACATTTTTCAATTTTTTCTTCGACTCTGCTTCTTTCTGAACTTTTCCGCCGCTTTATCATTTTTGTCTTTTTGAAAATTCCCAGCCCTCTTCCGTTGTTTTTTTTTGCAGTTTTTTCTTCACACTTCTTTCCTCCTTCAATTTGTAGATCTTTTCTTTCCCTCATTCTGTTTTTGCTTCCCCGTTCATGCTTTTTTTGCCGTCCTGTTTCCAGATATGTACTTTCATTGGAGTTTGCCACGTGTTTCATAATTTTATAGTTTTTTCCAATATTTTTTGCTTTCTGTCATATTTTCTAACTTTTCTATCCTTTCCATACTTTTTTTTTCAGGCGCTTTACCACCTCTTTCCCACCTTTTTTCTAGCTGTTTACCAGGAACTTTGCTCTAGGACCAATTAAGAACCAATAATAGTCCAAGTTACTGGCTCTCGATTCGCTGGAAAATTGCTCTAGTAGCAATCAAGAGCCGGTAATAGTCCATATTTTGATTATTATCGGCTCTTGGCTTGAGTGTCACTGTAGCATCTTTCCAACAAATCCAGAGCCAGTAATATTCAAAATATGAACAATTACCGGTACTCGATTTGCAGGAAAAATTTAATAGTGGGGACTATTATCAGTTCTAAATTCACTGGAAAATTACTCTAGGACCAATAAAGAATCAATAATAGTCCAAATTACCGGCTCTCGATTCATTGGAAAATTTCTCTAGTGGCAATCAAGAGGTGGTAGTAATCCAAATTATCATTTTCTCTAGATCTTGATTCAATGGAAAAATGTTTTGACTACTCTCTGGCTTTTGATTCGCTGGAAAATTGCTCTAGTAGCAATCAAAAGCCGGTAATAGTCCATATTTTGATTATTATCGGCTCTTGGCTGTCCCTGTAGCACCTTTCCAACAAAACCAAGTACAATCAGTCCACAAGCAAATTCCTTTTATCATGATTTTAAATCAGCTGACTATAACCTTATAAATTACTTTCATTGGGACACGATACTGTCTAACTTAACAGTACCAAATATGGTTCAAACATTTTCCGAAATCCTAAATCATGCAATAGGCCTATTTGTCCCTTAAAAAAAATCGCAAACAGAAAATTTCCTAAATAGTTCAGCCAGGATCTTATTAGTCTCACATTCCAGAAAAATATCGCTCATAAACATTATAAATCTACCCCCTCGCCCAATAACTACAATATTTTTTCCAATCTACGTTCTTATTGTAAACAGCTATCTAAACAATGGTACCAAAATTATATTAGAGAAACAGAGTCGAATCTCAATTATAACCCTAAACAATTTTGGAGTTTTATTAATTCCAAAAGAAATTCTTCTAAGATACCATCAAATCTTTACTTGGATAATGTAAAATGCGAGATGGGGGTGAATGCTGCTTATCTCTTCGCAAACCATTTATTCTCAAGAGCAACCACAACATGAGGAAAAACCCTCCTTCAACAACTCAAATGTATCTGAGTTCTCAATCTGTATTTCTGAAATATACACAGATCTGACTAACTTGAACATCTATAAAGGACCAGGCCCTGATAAAATTCATCCTATTTTGCTTGAAAAATGCTCTTTTATCCTCTCAAGACCCCTGCATATTCATATTTAATAGCTCATTCAAATACTGGAAATCCAGTTATGTAGTACCCATCCAGAAATCCGGGGACACTTCTAGGTTCTAATATAAACAACTACAAACCTATTAATATTTTGAGTACAATATCCAAACTGATTGAAAAACTTGTATCCAAATATTTGACAGTTCTTTTATCTCCTTCAATTATTAATGAATAGTTTGGCTTTTACGCAGATCGCTATTTCAACAAATATTATATCACAAAAGCCCTGGGAGATAATTTTAAAGTACATTCAATAATATACAGACTTTTCCAAGGTCTTTGACAAGGTACCGCACAATGTCTTAATTGACAAACTTAAATTTTGGGGAATGCCTAAACCCATAACTGGACATAACCAGATTATCAAAGTAAATAACTTTCTATCGGATAAAATCTCAGAGGGATAAAATGCAGGTTTCTTCAGGGGTTCCCTAGGGGTCACATTTAGCCCCACTTATCTTCAACTGCTTTGTTAATAATGCTGCCTCCTGCTTCAAATCTTTTTCTCTTTATTTTTTGCTGATGACGTAAAGTCATCCAAAATAATTCCGAATTCGGGAGACTGCTTAGATCTGCACAGAGATTTGAATAGGGTTGTGGAATGGTGTGAATCAAATGGGATGGAGCTTAATACTCAAAGTGCAAACTAATGACATAACAACCTATAACTACAATCAACGGTGAAATCCTCACAGCCCCTTAAACCATAATGGATAATTTTATAACATTCATAACAGACAAAGCACTACGGATGATTGGATTTATCAAAAGAAATACAAATGACTTCAACACCATCCATGCTCTGAAGATTCTATATTGCAGTCTCGTGAGATCCCATTTAGAATATGTTTCTACCATCTAGAATTCCCATTATCATACTCATATCTCAAGAGTAGAACGTGTTCAGAATAGGTTCTTATCCTACATTAATTACAAACTTTTCAGAAACGAACTAACCTGAAACACTACATCAAAAATTGAACCTTCAAACGCTGACCAACAGAAGAGATCACCGAGATCTTTATTTGCTTTTTAAATTGACCAACTCTATAGTTGACTGTCCACATCTTACCAGTATGGTAAATATCTTTGTTCCCAATAGAAACACAAGAAACTAACATACTTTCCAAGTTTCTTTCCACCGAACAAACTATGGAAAATACTCCTTTTTTGAATTTGTAGGCATCTATAGTTAGGCTGGTTAATATGTATTACCTCTGGCTCTCTGAGATTTTATTGACTTGGTAATGATGTTACAAAGCTTTACTTATTTAACTGTTAAAAACGTATTAATTTATTACCGAATTGTTGAGCTTATGTAAAAAAATGGTCTTTGTCCGTCAATAAATAGATAAATCCCGAGCCAGTAATATTCAAAATTTGAACTATTACCGGTACTCGATTCGCTGGAAAATTTCAAAAGTTGGGACTATTACCAGTTATCCATTCACTGGAAATTTGCTTTTAGGAGCAATGAAGAACCAATAAAAGTCCAAATTATCGGCTTTCGATTTATTGGAAAATTGTTTTAGTGGCAATCAAGAGTTGGTAATAATCCTAATTATGATTTTCTCTGGATCTTGATTCACTGGAAATATGTTTCGACTATTCTCTCTGGCTTCTGATTCGCTGGAAAATTGCACTAGTAGCAATCAAGAGCCGGTAATAGTCCATATTTTGATTAGTATCGGCTCTTGGGCTGTCACTGATGTATGTTTCCAACAAATCCAGAGCCAGTAATAAGGAAAGTTTCTCCCCTCAAGGGATAAAAACTTTTATTTAAAGTTTTGCTGAAGGTTAACCCATATGAGATTACTTAATGCATATTCACCCAAAACAGTGCGTCTTTGTCCTTGCCAGATCAAAGCCACCTATCTTCTATCTTGCCTTGCCTGAAAAACTTTTCTATTTCGTGTCTGTGCTATTTGGTTTCTGCCGGCTATAGACTGTAAGCTTACTGTGATATAAATAAACTAGAATAAAACACCTCTTTACCAGAAACTAGTTTTTATTCTCATAAGTAAAATGAATGACAGAAGATTGAAAATAAGACAAATAAATTCTTCTACATTTGGGCCTGTTCTTGAATGATTAATAAATGAAAATTTAGTGATTGACAGAGACTATTAACATAAATATAATCCTTATGAATTTCAATCTAAATATCTACTACAACCTGTATAAAACGATATTGTCAGCAAATCTTACAGATGCTTCAGCTGCTCTACAACTACCGGCCGATGACTGAATACCAGCCTCCCTTAAACAGGATCGGACCCAGCCTGCTATTACCAATCTTGATGCGGATTTTACCTTATCCCCTTGTAATAAAGAGTGAAGTAATATTCTTCACTGATCCTTTTCTTATTACAGCAAGCTGAATTAGATTCTTTGTCCATTGATATACATCCAGACTTTTGATACCTACTGTGTTTAGAAATTTTCCAACTAGATTGTTGATAGTTATTTATATCAGTCTTTGGTTTGAACCAAACTTTGGCCAAAATATCAGGTACTGCGGGTTTTCTTGGAGGTGATCTTCTCCTATGTCCAATATGGTGAGATCATGCACCAATATGGCGAGATCATCTACCAAAGTATAATAATAAGAGCTTTGCTA